TTTCTTCTCCCCCCTCTCTTTGGCACACAATGAGGCTGCTTACCGAGGGAGCTACGAAGATGATGGGGCGCAAATTTATAACTTATTGCCACCGGTGGATTTTTATACTCACGCTCCATCAATTTTTATTCGCCTCTTGGGCTCGGACCGAAGGAAATACTATCAGATACCAGACCAACGAGGAGGACGCACCGGGTACGGTCATCGGAAACCTCGCCAAGGACATGTCCTTGAGTCTGTCTCATTCCTCCAAGACCAATTTCAGGATGATGAAACAATTCAACGACTCATTCATCAGGGTGAGGGAGAGCGACGGGGAGCTGAGTGTCGGGGAACGGATTGACAGAGAGAGAATCTGCAGACACACTCCACAGTGCGTAATCACTTTTGACGTGGTTAATTTCTCCAAAGATCGCTACAAATTGATTCACGTCGAAGTGGAAATAAAGGACATCAATGACAACTCTCCGGAGTTTCCAAACAAGGAATCTGTAGTGGAGATCTCCGAGAACGCAGCAGTTGGCTCCCGCATCCCTTTGGACCCAGCTGTGGACGCAGACGTCGGGTCAAACTACATCCAAAGCTACCAAATTTCTGTTAATAGTCATTTCACCATTGATGTGCTCCTGAGAGCGGATGGGGTTAAATATGCGGAATTGGTGCTAATGAAAGAGCTAGACAGGGAGACTCAGTCATCATACACTGTGGAGCTGGTCGCCACAGACGGAGGGAACCCGTACAGATCGGGGTCAACAAAGATAACTATCAAAGTGACTGACTTTAACGACAACAGTCCGGTTTTCGACCAGAACAGCTTTTCTGTCAGTTTGCCAGAGGACGCACCGGTTGGCGCACTTATCCTGGACTTAAACGCAGTTGACGCGGACGAGGGGTTAAACGGAGAGGTCGTCTACGGGTTCGGGAAGCAGGTCTCTCAGGAAATCCGAGAACTTTTCCAAGTGGATAACAAATCGGGTCGCCTGACGCTCAGGAGCCCCGTGGATTTCGAGGACAAAAGCACCTACGAGCTGGACGTGCAGGCGACCGATCTGGGACCCAACCCGACCCCCTCCGTGTGCAAAATCATCATCCACGTCACCGATGTCAACGACAATGCCCCGGAAATTAGCATCACCCCGATGACCTCCATCACCACGGGCGTCGCGCACATCAGCGAGGCGGCCGACAAGGACAGTCTGGTGGCGCTGATCAGCACCCTGGACAGAGACTCCGGCGTCAACAGCCAGGTCCACTGCACCCTGTACGGCCACGACCACTTTAAACTCCGCCAGGCGTACGAGGACAGCTACATGATAGTGACTGCAGCGGCTCTGGACCGAGAGAGGATCAGTGAGTACAACCTGACGGTCATGGCTGAGGATTTTGGGTCACCCCCACTGAGAAAAATCACCCAGTACACCATCAGGCTGAGCGACGAGAACGACAACGCCCCTCACTTTGCCAAAGCTGTTTATGAAGTTTCAGTGGTGGAAAACAACGCCCCGGGGGCTTATATCACCACAGTGGAGGCCAGTGACGCTGATCTGGGCAACAATGGGAAAATCACTTACAGGCTGGTGGACGGGGTTATCATGGGCTCCCCAGTGAACACCTTTGTGTCTCTCAATTCTGTGTCTGGCTCCATATATGCCCTCAGAAGTTTTAATTATGAAGTGATGAAACAGCTAGACATACACATTCAAGCCAGCGATGGGGGGTCACCACAGCTGCAGAGCACAGCTGTCATCAGATTAAAAATAGTCGATCAGAATGACAACCAGCCCTCTATCATAGAGCCCCCCCTGTACAAGGGATCTACTGAGGTTTTCCTGCCCAAAGATGCACCTGCAGGTTATGTGGTAACCCAGATAAAGGCCACAGATGCTGATGAAGGAGTAAACGCACAGCTGTCCTACAAAATCACCGAGGGGGGACACCTGGGTTTCTCCATCAACAAAGACACAGGGAAGGTGCACGTGAGCCGACAGCTGACGTACGACCTGGCAGACAATGTCAAAGTCACGGTGGCGGTCATCGACAGCGGATCCCCCGCCCTCACCTCCACAGCCGTTATTCACTTCAGTTTCATAGAGGGGACTCTGCCTAGTTTGCCTTCCTTGGCTGAAAATGGCAGCGAGGAGGTCTTTGAATGGGACATGTCCATAGCTATAATCATTGTCCTGGCAGGGAGCTGCTCTCTCCTCCTGCTGGCTATCATTCTCATCACAACCATTTGCAGCCGTCGGAAAAAGGAGACGAGGGAAGCGGGGTTTGACGACAAAGAAGACTTACCAAATGTGGAGAAAGTGGAAAGCGGTCATATTGATTCATTGATCGCCAACCACAAAGGGAAAGTGTTTGATACCCATCCATTTCCAGAGAAACCTCCATTGGCCAGCAGCAACACAACAGAGGCAGGCTGTGAGGACGGCAGGCAGACAGCAGGCATCTTTGAGTCAAACAGCAGGGTGATGGAGGGTAAATTAAAGGTACATTATCAGAGATATTCAAAGTTTTTTTCTTTTTGCACACCAGTTTTGTCTTTGTCTTTCGCAGTTTTGACTCACAATTCGTGTGGATGTGTTTTTTATTTTTTTGTCTTTTGCAGGGTTATTCCACACTGCCAGGATATGGGAAAGAAACTGTGAGACCAATAACAATATGGAAGGGCAATTCATTCACAACGATCTCAGCAAGAGATCCCCACATCAGTGGCAAGGACAGTGGAAAAGGGGACAGCGACTTCAATGACAGCGACTCTGACATAAGTGGAGATGTGCACAAAAAAGAGTCGCCGCCCACCAACAGTGAGTGTCAGAAAAGAATGTAATGATGAAACACGAGTTTTAGAGCGAAAACACGTCAAATGACAGCGTGTGAAGGTGAAATACATGCAGTAATGTGACGCGCATTTTCTTTTTCTTCTCACACTTTGATTTATGAGGCACAAAATCTCAACTGTATGCACCACATGTTAAGAAAAAAACAAAACACTGGTTGCATTGTGAGCCGTCTAACCCGAGCTCGCTGGGATCTTTCATCACCAAACGTCCCACGACTGTATTCACATTACACCCTGACAGCGCTGCTTGCTTTCCACAGGTCTCTGGGCATGTACAAGCGAGTGCAAAGTGCTGGGACACTCGGACCGATGCTGGAGCCCCTCGGCTACAAGGCCCAACACGAGCCTGGCCTGTGGACCGCATCTGTCAACGTTCTCCAAGACAGCTTCACTTCCCCGGGACACCAGGAGGGAAAACTACTACCCAGCTCACATACCCAAAACCAACGGCCTGCAAAGTGTGTACGAAAAGGTTCAACACCAGGAGTTTGATTATATTCTCGTCGGTCCACCAACTCCAGCCAGAATACAGGAAACGGATGAAATTTCCATCCCAGAGTACACAAACTCTTAAAGCGGCTTAAGTGAAAGATCAAACAGTCATTAAAAAAGGGGGTTCTGTCTTTATACTGTACAGTACTTTTATCTTAATTGACTCTTTGTTGGATTGTTGCAGTGTTTTGTAGTATGTCATGTGTCTTTTGGCTCATATAAGACTGTTCATTGTATCATGTGTAATATGCAAGATTTTCTACATTAATAATATATTTTTCATAATGATTCAATGTAAAAAGGAGTTTTATTATGGATTTTTAAGAGCATGTGTTACTATTTAAAGGGGCATGACCTATGGACATTTAGGCTGCAAACAAACAAAAAAAAGGGCCTTTCTGCTGTGGAAAACAATCAATATGAAAGATTACCATGTTTGTGGTAGATTTTATCACACTGTTGCACAAATAAACATTTAAAAGTGAAAACGTTTTATTTTTTTTGCTGTTCAATGAAAAATGTAGCAATCAGGCCTGACAGCTATAGGCAGAGTACAACCTATTGTCCTGAGGAAATATTCATAAAGCACACAGAATAACCTCAATTAGCCAACTGAATGCATTTCATTTGCCTTAAAGGCTTATAAGCCGCCATAAATAAAATGTGATTCTCCAAGCATCACAGCTGGACTGATAGCAGGCATAAGCCAATGTCATTGTCTTTTCATTGTACACAATGTAGTTACTGTGCCGCCTCAATTTGCATGCAAATATTGCACTGCTGATCAAATGCTCCCACAATTACATATTTTTCAAAGGTCAAAGAATACCCTCACCTTTTGTGATTGCCTCCCAGCTTACCAATTATCCAGAAAAAAAATTTGATTTAATCTGTTTCTAAGCAACAGCAGCACTGCACATTTGAATGTCTTTTCTTACTGTGTTTCTTCTTTTTAAGTTACGACAAAGACCTTGGGTAACCTTGACCACGAAAACTTTTTTTATTTTTCTTCTCCAGTTGTCAAATCAGAAAATTCACAATTAGGCAAAGGTTATGTCTACGTGTGTGTGTGTGTGTGTCTGTGTGTGTGCACGCTGCTACAAGTCTGTGATTTCTTGCGGCATTATTTAGGAATATAAAGAAGATTTGCAAACTATGAGGACTCAGGCATTCACATTTTAGATTCTTTTTCATTCCTGCCCACACCTATGAAAGGCAAAGAAGCATAGAAAATGTGCAGCATTGTGTGTTGTGACTGACATCTAGCTATTAAATTAGTGTGTTATTCTATGAAAGATTTGAAACAACCTTCTGACAGCGTTGCCGTCTTAAGAGGTTACAGATTTTCCTCCTTGCATTTAATACCTGAAAGAGCAGAAATCCTTTTAACTAACCAGTTCATCGCTTACTGTAACACATGACACCAGTAAATCTTTAATGAGCTGCTTCAAAACGCCTGTTGTAGTTTGGTTCCACAGGGTGGCCGTCTCTCTCTGGGCGATCCTGAGACACAGGTAGCATTCGGATGAAGAATTTAGCCAAAGTAATTTATATCAACTGTACGTCATTCACACTTAAGCGTGAAATAGCCTTCTGGTGGATAACCTGACTCTCCAAAGAGAAGCAACTAGAGAGGGGAATTATAGAGGACATCATGAGAGAGATTATGGAAAAAGTCCAAAATGCAACTCATGGATCTTGCTGTTTTGAACACTGCAGGCCTCCGGTAAGACTTGGCTTATTAAGTTTTTGATTAGAAACCTAAGTGACATGCGTGACGTGTTCATAAAGATGTCAGCTCTGTGAAATCTCGAGCTTTCCAGGCACTTTAACTCTGTGTTCTGGTCACTGTTTAAAGTCTTTCTTACTTTGTTTCCTTTAAGGGACAAAGCAAACCGACCTCCGCCACACTCGGGCATCTCCTGAGATGTGGAGCTGTGGCTCTTATTGCCGGCGCGGTGTTAATGTTGTGTGCGTCCATGGCCGCTGTCTACCTGTGGAAAGCCAGCGATAAAAACGTAAGTGTCGACAAAGGACCGCCGTAGTTATTACATTGCTTCTTCAGTAACAAATATCTGAAAGTGAATGTGAGGGCGACGCTGGTGGGAAACAGACCAAAAGCAGATTACAACAAACCCCCTCTGATGTTGAAAAATTTAACAGGCACAGTTGTTTGCTGTTTTTCCTCAGACTGTCATAAGATATTTATAATAATGACTGAGATGTCTTATCAACAGTCATCACATATCAGACTGTAAAAATTGCATCTTTAATTCTGTCAACAGCGAGCGCACACACACACACGCCACATAAATTCATCCTGGAGCTCTACTTCATCTTATAAGAAGCAGTGTAATGTTTATTTGTGTTCTAATGAGCTCACCTGTAGGGCAAACATCAAGGTCTGCAACAGCATCTCCTGTGGTGCTTTGCTCAAATTCTCAGTGTGTAAAAACTACAGAGGATTTTCTTCAACAAAATTAAAAAAGAAAAAAAAGAAGAAGAAGCAGTGAGCGTGAGAGGGAATCGCATGAGCAACATGAAACTTGTTTTTCTGTCTCTCTTCTATTGTGTTTGCCACAGTTTTATTTACATAACTTGACTAATCAGTCATTTTAACATCCCTCTCTCTCCCCCCCTCCCTCCTTACTTTGAATCCTGCCAGGTTTATAATGTTCGTTACAGTATGAACATCAATGGGGAGGTGAGGGAGGGCTCCGTGGAAATCGATTCTGACAACAATCTGGAGAGGTTTAAAACTGGGAGCGGAGCTGAGGAAGCTGTGGAGATTCATGACTTTCAAATTGTGAGTGAGTTTGTCCTCGTTCTCTCTCTTCCTGAGGTAGTTCAGCTGAGACCTTGTGTGTGCTTTAGCAAAGTAGCAAAGCTGTGAGTGTAAACATGGCATCTCTGTGATTTGGTGCAGGGAATAACGGGAATCCGCTTCTTTGGAGGAGACAAGTGCTATATAAAATCCCAAATCAAAGCCAACCTTCCACACATGGGAGCTCACAACAAAGAGACACTGATGTTTGACCTGGTATATGCACATTGCTTGATACAGAATGTAGCAAATTGGAGAGAAAAGAAAAAAAAAGACATTGCAGCCTCATTTTTTCCATCTGAGTAATTCAAGGACATTTCCCCCCCTCCTCCTCTTCTTCCTCCTTCTTTCTTTTCTTGTCAGACAGATGAATTAATGCCAGCGAGGTTTGATGAGGAGTTCCTCATATGGGTTGCAGCAGAGCAGCCGCTGAAGGACACCAGGATTCTGAGCAGTAAAATTCTGGATCTTTGCGGGAAACTTCCCATTCACTGGCTCCAACCGATGCATCCTAAAGGTGTTTTCCATCTTTTTGTTTCACTCCGTCCCACGATAACCTCTATCACACAGCGCGGCCCGGTCCATGTGAACCGCTGCAGACTTATTCAAATCTCAGCTGCCCTGCTTATCTGCTGACACACTTGTGAAATTTACAGTCTTGTCTAAGAAGTTAGCGAAACACTTGAACATCTCCAGCATACACTACATTTAGAGTTGAACACTGGAGAGAAAAAAAAAAAAGATTCGCAAAGTCTTGTATTAAAAAAGAATGATCTTGAAATATGCAAGACTGCTTGATATCGCTGCTGCTAATTTAATTATTCAGGACATCTGAGACAGCTCTAGCTATGTAGGATTGAGCTCTGAGGACATGTATGGCATCTTGTGGATGTTGACCCAATACTCTTGCCTCTTGTGGCTGCTGTAACAGATGGGGAGAGGAAAAAGAGAGAAGCCGAGCAGCAGTCGAACATGGAGGAGGTTGAGGCGGCTGCCGAGGAGAGGGACCCGGTGAGTCGCGACACCTCCAGAGCTGTGGAGGGAGAAGCAGCGGTGGAGGAGGAGGAGGGGGCGCAGTCAGCTGCAGGGTCAGCGTACAATCCCGAAAACCCCTATCATGTGAGTAGCAACTTCATCAACAGGGCTTGTTTATGGTAAACAAGACTCCAGAGTTGGGTGAATTTTTGATTAACTATCAAGAGGCGTATACGGAGCCCTGAAGCGAGCCTCACAGTAACATTATGAATTGAAGTTTCTCTGTTTTGTCAACACTTTTACAGATGACTTCATAACACCCTCCTTAAGATGTTGTTAAAAAATGCATTCTCGCACAAATACGAAGCACTCGGCGCGGAAATGTGTTAAACCCCGTATGTGGTCTTAGCAGGTCTATACCGCCGCCGCCGCTGCCGTTAAGGTGTCATATCGGCAGCTTTAATTACAGGTCGCTGGGGTAATATCTGCCATTCCAACTTAATGAACTTATGAACTGAAGTGAAAACTCCCACTGGTTATAAAAATTCATGTTGCCTTAGAGAGCCAGAGTCACATGTTTGCGAAGGATGAGAAGTTTTTTTTTTTTCTTTTAAAGGCATTTGAATTGCAAATGAGTGTAAATCTTGAAAAAAAAAAAAGATTTAAAAATAGATTGCTCTTCAAAATTAACATCGCTTAATATTACTGCAGCACAGCGGTGGGGCCGGAGAGGAAGTCGCCGCGACCTTTGACACCATGTTAGACCACCGGGGAATCTGCTGCTCAGAATGCCAGCGCGGCTACACTCACTGTCAGAGGGTGTGCGAGCCTCTGCGCGGCTACTGGCCGTGGCCTTACAACTACAGAGGCTGCCAGGTAGCTTGTCGAGTCATTATGCCTTGTCGCTGGTGGGTTGCACGCATTTTTGGGGTTGTGTAAGAAAACACAACATGTCTTCTTCTTTTTTTTTCTACCCACAGGTCTCTAAACATTAAGCTTTTATTCAGATGCAGATATTTATTTTTCTGAGTTTGATGCTAAATACTGCCAGCAAGCTACGCCTGTTAGCGCAATATGCAGATTGTGAAATATGATTATTTAAACTACAGCATCTATGCTAACTGTGACAAATGTTTCATCTTCATAGACACTTCTTTACATAAAGCAAAAGCTGGAATACATAAATGCCATATTTTTATTTGCAGTAACAGATTCACAAATGAGCATGTTCATTTTTTTTTATATCCTGCGATACCAAGGCTTAATGCACTGTACTGTGTTTAATGGAAGGTATGGGACCGAATCCAAAGGCTCAGCAGATGATGTACCTTTTTCTGACTGAACAGGCTTCAATAAATTCTAATTACAGTATATGGCGGCTTTGATGTGGATGTTTTTTGTGTCACATGTTGTTTCCATGGTTCCACCGGGTGTTTTTCTGATAAAACTGAAGTGACAGCAATGGTTGCCATAACTTCCATTCACAGCTCAGAATCAGTTTGAGGGCAATACAATTTGTGCTCACTGACATCTGCATTGATGTGAACTAATGTGAGATGAGTGTCATGGCAATGATGGAAAATATTTCCATAAAAGTGACATTTTTATTAAATAAATAAAGCCATTTTTTTTTTGCCATGAAAAGAGAAAAGTGTGAATGCTAAGCCACCAAATAACATGATGAGACAGGCTTTTTATATACAGCTGTTATTGGGGCTTGTGGTGTAGGGTATTCTGAATACCTCAAAATCAAAAGAAATCAGATTACTATCTCTAAAGCCATATGCCAACTTTCTAAATAATTGAAAGGAGCCATGTTGTGATCAAGACGATTTCACAGAGGGTGATCCAGGCACATCAAATTACAACAGATGTGAAATTGCACCGTATCTGCCACTAAAGCTGCATTGAAACTCTGAAGCGGTGTGAGGAAACAACACAAAGAGATGCTTGTCTTTTAGCTTGGAGATTTTTTCCTGGTTTTCATGGGGGTAGAGGTGCTTATCACATCTGCAGTGCTGATAAGACGGCCTCTGTGCTTCCGTAGGCTATATAATATTAATCCCTCTCCCACGTCTGCAGATACACTTAAAGGAAGGTGACAAGCATGACATATCCAGGACCTCCTGATGGCTCGTGCTCTGGAGTGCAGCCGCTAAAAGAGCCCCAAGTACCCTCAAGTGATGTAAATTTGCAGGGGGAGTCCAATTTCCATCACAGTGCTGTCACTGCCATGGTCATTAAACTAAATCATCCCGCTGTGTGTCACACAGCTCCCATTTTAAAGTCCCCTCAATAATGGAGTTATACTTGGACTGCAGATTGCAGCACAACAGTGAGTGTCTGACCTGACAGCAGCTGTAAGACTATCTTGCACATTATTTCATCTTCCAGAATCACAGGCAGACAGTACGTATAGGTGTAAGAGATAGTGTGAAATTAATAATTGATTGGGAAATCTTTTAGATGCGCCTGCTGCAGTTAAACAGAAATGATAATAATATACACAGAACTATGTAATCTCCACATTTATTAACTGCGGCTAAAACTTTAAATGTGGTGCGTGCTGTTGTTGGCAGTTTCCTTGGCTTTCACTCAGAATATGTTGATACAGCAGCACAAGACAAAGAGCCCTGAGTTTAAGCTAGACAAAAGGAGATGAAAAACACAAAGCAAAAAGAGAGAAAAAAAAAACATATCACCACAAGCAACAACTCAAAATGGCATTTAAACTGAGGAAAAAATACATAGCTCAGAACAACAGCAGTTTTGTTATCCTGAGGCCCTGTTTCTAAAGAACTTGTTTCCTTTTGCCATTCTTCTCCTAAGAAGAGAAATGTACCCCCATTGAGTAGAAAAGACGAATGTGTTGGAGATCAGCTTCAGTGTGCGAGACAGTGGTGCCTTTTTGTTTGTCTCCCCTCTGGAGCCAAGCTTACCCTGGGAGCCCTGCAGGCCAGGGAACAAACAGAGCTTTGTGAGCACTGACCCACTGTGCCCAGCAGCCAGACTGCAAACCTCCACTTCTGTGCTAATAGGAAACCACAGATGAGGAGTCCATAGCTGACGAGAGAAGAGGAGGGAGGGGGGGCTTTTCTCGCATCCACCTGTGCTTTCATCATTGCCCATCAAAACAAGCATAGGCAGGCGGGGTGCTGCGGTGCTCTGGTGATCGTGAAATCAAAAGCTTTTTTCCACCAACCGTCCTCTTGGCACCGAAACCGAACACACAATACATTTGGGTAACCTTCGCCGGTGATTTATTTTGTGGCATGGATTTGTACTAATCAAGCCTGTGCACTCACTAGAGCTCCCTATAAATATGTCAATAGCCCCGCCATAAATTTGCCTACTGTTGCCCAGGAGGCATTAGAAGTGTGAACAGGAGTGTGAAGTGAAGCACTCTAGTCAACATGTCCTACATTTGATTGCATGTTTTCCATTACATCCAGACATGAATGAAATAAACAGTAGTGACAGTCCATTTTGCACCGTAACCAGAACACAGAAACCCTTTTAGACGAGCTCATTATGTTTTTCTGCAAGAAAGCACTGCAATACATTTATAGATGCTGGCGTTGTGAAAAACCTGTAACCCACAGTTTTGCACCAGTGGTAACAACCCGGGCTCCTAACATTTGTCTTTTCTTTTCTCCTGAATGGTCAGAAATACATGGCTGGATGAAGAGGTGGGGTGGGGGGGGTGGGGGGGTGTTCTGGTACAAGGCTTAAATGCTTTTTAATCCCATGGTTGAATGACCACTTGCAGTTCTGCCCAGTAGTCTGACTCTGGCTGCCATTTGCAGGGGCTCTCTGAAGTTTCCTTGCCATTGGCTGGACTGGCCACTTGCATCTCTCTCTCTCGCTGAGTCGCTCTCTCTCTCTTTTAACACACTCTCCTATTTTGCATGCAAGCCCCAAATGGTCATTAATTAAATGCCTGCTAGTATTGTGTAAGGAAGTCTGCCTTGCTTATTTCGCTAAGTTAAAACTCCAAATTATGTCTATAGACCTGCCTGCATTCAGTGAATTACTTTCTATGTAATGGAACATTATAGTGATTCTCCTGGGTCACTCAATTACCCTGCACACACTGCAGAGGGTTTTTTTTTTTTTTTTTTCCTGGGTATTGCACTTGGTTGCATAGTGTCCTTGTTACACTCAAATAGAAAACCTGTAGTGTGGTGTAGGTCTAAATTGGACACAGTGCCGGATTGTGCACCATTGTTTTCCAAGGGGACACACTGTATGTATGACAGTTAGTGTGGCGGAGGCTTCAAACCTGCAGTGGATGTCAAGAGATCCTCACTAGAGGTGGGCAGTTGTCTCACCAAACAATCGACAATTTCACACAACCTCACCCGTGTCATCTTTTTTTAATTTTTTTTTTATTTTTCCCCGTCTGTGAAATTTCATTTTTGAAAAAAGCCCCGCCGATGGGATCAATATTAAAAGGACTCGCTATCAAAATATGGCATTTGTCTAAACTTCAGTGTCTGGATGCATCCCAGAACGTACACATCCTCTGGTGGGGTGCTTAAAAAAAGATCTATAGATAGCTCAAAGCGGAATCAAATCAAGACTTCACATCCACAAACTGTAAAAGAACAGCTCCTCCACAAAGCAATGTCAAGAGGCTTGCCACATGAAAGCAGAAGTTGTCTAAAGAGTTGCGGGAAGTACTGACAAAGTTTATGAAGAAAAAAGTAAATGTGTTTTTAATCCTCAGCAGCACGTGCAACAATGAGGGAGCCTGAGCGCTTAGATATGCCACCCCGGGGGCAGGCTCTATACTTAAGGCTTACAACAGCCTCATTATCTCCCTCAACTCACATCAGATCCTAGCAGCAGTTTGTCACAGGCAGGCTCCTCTCTGCCAGTAGGCATCAGACCAATCCTCCTGCAACACTACTGTACATAATTGCCATATGGACAGCATTTTGAGCCAGACTGAAGACTAAAAAGCCCTCCAGGCAGATTCCCCAGATAACTAAATGAATATTTTATCTCATTTCCATCTAATTTGCACCGCATTATTATACAGAACTGAAATTTTTAATTAATTGATAGAACAGATCAAACACAGGTTTACACTTTGATTTTCGGGGGCTGTTATTTTGATAATTTGCATGACTTTTTTCCCATGCCAAGCTTTTTAATCTCGCCCGAATTTCAGCATCTCTATATAGAAGCACTATAATAAAACATACAGCAAATTAATAACTGTCACCGCACATGAAATGCCTGTCTTGGTTGTGTGAGCGGTTCCAGTGAGAAGTCCTTTTACCTGCCACCCCACTGATTAATTAATTTCACACTGTTTAATTAAATCCACAGTCTGGGGAGTCTGGGCAGCACCGTGGGGAGCCGTATTTGAGCCTTGTGTGCACAGAGATTACTAAAGAAGGTCTGAGACTCCTGCTCTCTCGCTGGTGTTGACACTGACGTCACCCTCCTCTGGATACCGGAGCCCGATTGTGTCGGTGTCATCTGGCAGTTGTGAGCTTTTACTGCTGGGGACATGATAGCACGGCGCCATTTGTTGATTATCTGCTGGCATTTACGTTAACAAAGGAGAGCTGAGCATCTGACAGCACTAGACACAAATTAGTATTTGACAGGAGCGTCTGATGAAGTGTGCAGCGGCATGTACGCAAACCTTACATTCCCCTGAAGTCAGTCAACTGTTCAAATACAAATTAAAGCCGTCAAAAATTGTCACAGAAAAGGGGAATGTGAAATAGAAAACACAGCTTTAACATAACATAAGGCAAAGTAGGAGAACCCCAAAAGGACTGATGTGAAAATAAAATAAGTGGACCACATTCTAGATCAAAAACAGTACAAATTGGCTTCAGCGTAAATGAGCATATTGAACTCTCGTATCCTGTCCAACGCTGTTGTATCCAACAGCAAAAGCCTCAGAGACGCCGTCTCTCTCATGTCAGAACAGAAAGAGGTGCATGAATGTGTGAGCACAGCAGGCAATATGACTGTGTGGGCTGGAAAGCATGCACGTTACTTTCTCTGTTCTCTTGAAACATATTTTTGGCATCTCTAATCACAAACAAACACATTTTGAGTCAGATGGCAAACATTTGTCTCAACAGTGCAACTTAAAAATAAGATGACATTTAAAGGTTGAATGATTTAGGATGAAATCAACCATTTTCAGGACTGTGATATGTATGTACACACACATTTAAAAAAAAAAAAAAGATTATATGTATGTGTCCCCCATTTAACCCTAACTTGATTCCAACTTTGATTTGCTAATTCTAGCATCCACACTCTGGTTGTTTGATGAGATGATTGAGCTGCTTGCTGGTTTGATGTGATGTGATGTGGAACCAGAATTTCCTTGTGCTTTCCATTTGATGTGCCAAGAACTATTAGTGTGACAAACGCTTGAAAACCTGTAGTGCGTCTGCCGCTGATAAAGAAAAAGTCCTGATATGAAACAAGATGGCATTTTCATATGGTAAGGGCTTCTGTTTTTAGGACATGGCTGAAATGCATATTTAAAGGGTTGAACTGTATTTTTTTTCCTGACCTCACAAAAAAAAAAGAAAGAATTGTCTAAAGAGTTCACTAAGATTTAAATAAATCATTTGTACTATACATGATTCTAAATTGTCCATAGGTGTGAATGTGAGTGTGCTTGGTTGTCTGTCTCTAAGTGTGGCCCTGTGATGGACTGGCGACCTGTCCAGGGTGTCCCCTGCCTTCGCCCTAAGTCAGCTGGGATAGACTCCAGCCCCCCTGCGACCCCAATGAGGATTAAGCGGTGTATAGATGATGGATGGATGGATTTGTACTATACATGCTCGAAAACAATGAGAAATGCTATAAAATGAATGTTTATTTTGATCAATGTTAATTAGCTTTTAAGCAACATCAAAAATTTATGTCCTTTTTACATTTTCTTGATGCATCGCAAACATCGCAAACGCTCTTTATTCAAACAAACTGCTCATTTTCTGCAAAAAGCTGACTTTACTCGGATGACACAAACTTTTAATAGGCGTTCCAGCGTGCGGCATCAAGACATTTTTGCAGACTGATACAGCATTAGCTGGAAGAACAGCGCTCTATTTGTGCTTTCCTTGTCCTGTGACAGGAAGACCTATCAGGTGCCCCCCCAACACTCCTCCCCACCCCCCACCCCCCATCCCTCTCTCTCCTCCTGACCTCATTCTGTCATCTTCGTTTTCCTTCTTCCCCACTCTCAGGTCTTTTATAAAGTGTCTCCATGCATTACACATTTAACAATGCATTAAAAATAGGCCACCATCAATCAGTCATTCAGTGGCGGAGACAGAATCTACTTGTGGCACCCAATTTGATATGTTTCTCAAGGTTCAAGAAGGGAGGGGGAAAAAAAAAAGGGAACGCTGTAAACTCTTAAGAGGCTGTGTGTATGTGTGTGAAACTTAACAGAGATGAAAATAACATAACATTAAAAAAACCGTGCCTCATAAAAAAAACCCGCCGTAATAATTTAGAATTCCCATTTGCTTGATTTCCGGCAGCGCGGTGTCTTCCTAGAATCCAGAAGCGGAATTAAAATAATATATATGCAGGCGGTGAGCTGTGACAAGATTTCTGTTGATGGCTGCCAGGTTAACATCGTGCCCAAAACAGTGATTTGAGAACTGTGATGCATGATACAGGATAGGTACTAGGTAAAAATCTGATGTAATGGTTGGGAGTGAGTCAAGCCTCAAGGGCAAATAGTCTGAACAGTCTGACTCCAGGTTGCTCATGCCAAAGCAGATGTTCAACTGACGACAGCATTACAAAAGACAGTGCTCCAAGTTATTCACAAGGTACTTTACATTATTAGAATGGCATGTCAAGGTTGCCGAGCTACTGACAGAGGGGGGCTTCTTGTTTTGATAGCCGAAGCCGCCGAATAAAAAAAAAAACAAAAAAAAAGATATTGACAGTCTCAGAAAGTGTTTTTTACAGTTCCACGTGAGTTTGTGTTAACACAGTAAGGTGTTCTCCTGCCCAGGAAGAGGTGTGGCTGTCTGCTTGTGAGCTTTGATGTTGCCGCTCTGCTCTGAGGCTTGATCCTGCATTCTGGACTTCAAAACAGACTGCGCCTCGTCATGGGTAACAGCTCGAAGAGGTAGACACCAACTGCACAGACATGCCTGAAGGACCACACGCAAAACCCAGTCAGAGGACAGCACATATTTCCCAACAGCCTCGCAGAAAACGACACACACGCGGTAAAGCGATCCTGCTTACGTTGTACTTATCCACAGAATTCATGGAGAATAGCTCTGTCTATATGTCTCTGTGTGGACTGTTGTTAAACGCAAGCAGCAAAACGTGTATGACTACATACATGCATACTACATTAAAACCATTTTTGCAGTGGAAGACTAGTTCTTCATCACTTTGGGTGTGCGAAAAAACCCCGAAAACGTTAGCCAAAACAAATGAAAGAATGCTTTAGATATCTTCTTTTGAGCGTGTAATGCAATAAAGGCTGTTAAATTTCTTCCCTTCTAAAATGCCTCCAAGCTATGTTTTCTTCTTCCTCATAACACGTCACTTTGATTCAGTGACCAACTGCCTGGTATATTGCCAAGTGTCTGTGTTTTTTCTCCTCTCCTGATGATGTTTTTCCAGACCATTTTCACTTATTACCGCCTCAGGTCATCACTTGCTGCAGTCTGACTATTTTACAGACGTGACTCCATATGTCCTTTATGACGCACATGATAGCTCATCCAATCTGGACCGCAGCGTTTTAAACATATACCAGATTAATTTAAGATTTATAAGAGAGAAACGCTCACCTTAAAACATCTCTTGAATCTTTTGCTGACTATGTACAGCGCGATTGGGTTGATGCAGGAGTTCAGCGACGCCATGTTTAAGCCAAAATAGTCAAGGACAAGAAAGACACTGAATAAAAAAAAAATAAAAGAACACATTAGGTAAATGGCACAAAAGCTTGTGGGCTGGGTAATGAACAACAAAAAGTTCCCGTATTCTCACCTCAGTAGCTGACACCTATTTGGATCTTTCTCATCGTATATGGTTGATTTTAATATTCTGCTGAGGTACAGAGGAAACCAGCAGAGTGCAAACACGATCACCAGGCAGAAGACGGTTTTTGCAACTTCACGTCTCTGCAAAAGAAGATGTATGATTCACTTTATTTTTATATTTTACCTTTATTTAACCAGATAAAAGACAGATTGAGATCGAAAAATCTTTCACAAGGGTGACCTGGCCAAGAAAACAATCACAAAATAAACATAAAGTGCAGAAGTGAGGACTTCAGTAACAGTTTAAAACACAATTTAACAGTTTAAAACACAGATATAGCAGATAAAGTGCAGGAGTGATGACTTCAGTAACAATTTAAAAACACTTTAAAAATCACAGATGAGCCCAAAAAATGGGAAAGATGCCAAAAACAAAAAAAAGTAGAAGATGCTCCTCTAACCTGCTTGATGTGGTCGCTCAAGGTGTTTTTTGTATTTCTCAGCATTTTCCTGGTCATGAGGGCGTAGAAGATGGCGGTCCAAAGCAGAGGCATGCAGAAGTAGAAGCCAAAGAGCCACCAGTCCTTTACGGCTTTATAAACCTGTTGAGCAAACACAACAGCCTGTCAGCGATGAGCAGCGGTTGCTATGATACAGCGTGCATTACACAATATTTGATCCACACACACACACACGTATAGATTTACAAGGGCATCAGCAAGAATCTACTTCATGTCCGTTGATTGAAGTCAGGAGGAAGAACGCCACAGCTACTATTTATTTCATTTCCTTTCAACACTTCTGAACATTGCTCAAACACATGTTGCTCTGTTAATTTAATCCTGTCGCATTCGGCGGATGCAAATCGCATTACCTGCATGAACGGTGAAGTTTGCATTGGATGAAGCAGACATATTCGGAGGTGCTTTTCTTTATAGTCCATTGTTATCATATCAAAGCCGACAACTTCAGGGACAGCCAGCAGGATGGAAATAACCCATATCAGAGTTATTTCGATTGCTGTCCACACTGAAACCCATACGCCTTTGATTTGATTCCAGGATACTACAGCCCGGTATCTGCAAAATCAATGAGAAAATGTAATGGCTTGAGGAAGTTTTGTTGTCCGTAACAATGATGTATCTTTTCAGTTAAAGAACATTTCAAGGGCCAATGCTAAACAAATCTGTCTGGCTGATGAAGCACAGATAAAAAAAAAAAAAAAAAGCAGCAAACGCTATTTTCTTGGAGGGCACAGGACAGTGCTGCTCGTCTCCTTACCTGTCAACGCTTAAAGCACACAAGCTCAACACTGTAATTCCAACTGAGGTTTTTTGTATGAAAGGGACGAGTTTGCATAGCGCCAAACCGAAGGGCCAATCTTCTGCCAAGAGCTGCAACAAAGACGAAAAAAAAAAACATAAATCAAGCTAAGATTGAAGTTTTAAAATAGATGGAGTGCAGAGGAGAGGATAAAGAGCATTGTTTTCTCATTGTAACTGCAGGTAACTCACCCTGTAAGCGTTGATTGGAATGTCTATCACAATGTGGATTAGATCCCCCAGAGCAAGACTTGCAATGAGAATGTTAGGTCCGCTTCTCATGCATTTGTTTACATGTATGATTTTCAGTAAGGCTGAATTCCCCACTATTCCGACTACAAACACGAGCAGAGAGACCATAACATTGATGTATTTGAAGGTGTCTCTGATTCCAGCTGACTCTAAGCACATAGGAGGGTGCGATGTTTTTGGTCCTGCTTCTCGGGGTGGATGAATTGAGCCGTTGGAGTTCTGTTTTTCCAGCGTTAAAAGACCAGGGGAGGCCGTTTCGGAGACTTCAATTACAGGGAATGGTTCTGAATGCTGATCGCTGGCCTCTCCTCTGATGAGAATATTTCCCAAACACAGAACGAGAGTCACGGTCCACATTGTTGATGATTCCCCTTTTAAAAAAAAAAAAAAAAGCTGTGAAATGTTTTCGCCAACTGTGGATTGAAAATGAAAATTGCAATAATTAGCACAGCGTCTGTACCTTTGACATTTACAGTGAGGTATTTAGGTGATGTAAAGGTTTCATTTAATTTGCTGTGAGTACAAAAGGTAAGGAGAAATCCACTGAAAGCCCCGATGCAGTGCGATAGAATGAATTATGGCAGCTTACCTTCAGATGTGCGCATGCAACCCTGAGCGAAGAGTCTCTTTAAGACCTAAAAAACACACTGTATGTTTAACACAAAGAACTTTCTTTGTTGCTGTGTCTGCTGTAAATGTTAGAACCCAGCTGAGGGAAATCAGGGTTTTATAGACTAAGGTATTGTTGTCAGCATTACTCATCGATCTGTCAGTAGTGACTGTAATTACTTCCCTTGATGCATCACCCTGAATGAAAGGATGGTGTTGAAGCGTATTGTCTGCTATCACAGAGTGAGGTAATTTTATAGGCTTCAGTCGGGATATTATGTTACAATTTTTCTCCCTCTTTTACTAAAAAATTCGTCCATTATCTTGTTTGACATAAAGGTTCCTCACAAAAATCTAAATGTAGCAAAATGTCTATTTTAGTGAAGTGAGAGATTTTCTTTGCTTAAAGCCACAAAGCCTCCATCACTCTATCACACTCTATCAAGTCATTGTTAATGAATGTAATGGGAACTGAAAAAAAAAACTATCTTCCTCAACTATATGACATTTTGGATGCACGTGAGCCTGATGCATAACTACTGCCAGGCACTTGAACAATAACAAAAAAAAAAAAAGTGACACAAATGGAACTGAACAATATTCAGTGAGTTTCCTCATGAGATTTTTGCTTCAGTTGACATATCACGTTTTCAAAACATGAGTCAGTCTCCGTCCTACCAGAGAGCTACTGCCTCCGCATCTCCTGAGAGTCCTAGAGAAGGTGACTTCTCCCCCTCGACAGTTTTAATGACAACCTGAAGAGCCTGGAGGAGCACGGAGCCATGTGACGACGGGAAAGATCCCATTGTTAATAACATATCCGACATCTACTCCGGCTCTCTTTTGATCGCTCAGATCCGTGCTTCACTACTGACAAATGACCTTGGAAGACTACGTGCTGGCATGTCTCCACAAGAACTAGAGATTAAGAAAAGTGAGCCGCTAATGGAAAACTATGACAACTGTTCACAGCTGGGGTGTCTGCGTACCCGGCATTAGTGCAACTTTTTATTTCATTTCCATGTAGGTCAGTGGAGACCGAGATGCAGCATCTATAAAAAAATAAACTGCAATTTGTGGCAGACCGACTGAAAGCCTCATAAAAAACAACAACCTTTTATATTTAGTGACCATCTTGCACTTTAATCTCCTGATATGCAGTTACTATGTTTTACCCACATTCAGTCAAGCTGGTCACAGGGGTTAAAGAGCTTCTCAGCCTGCAAGCTAAACATTTCCAGCGAACGTGCTTTTATTTGAAAACATAAATTGTTGAGTTCGTTAGTGTTTGCAATCAGTACCTCTGATATACGTGGATGTGAAGCGTTGTTCGGCCTCAGCACTCATTCCAGTGCCTTTAGGAGAAGCATCACGGTGTCTTCCATTTGCTACTGGATTCTCTAATCTATGACGATTATACTGTATAATGTAGCCTTAAATTAGTCAGCGCTAATTAGCATTACCTTTCAGATTTATTTGTTTTTCAATCAGCAAACTAACATCCATAATTCCCATCCAGCCATGCATGAGGTGAGCGGTGCCGCGCTGAGCCGGGCTACCAGTTCTTCTATGGCCTTAAACTCCACTAATCAATACTTGTTATATTAACATTGCAGTTAATAACTATGTGTACTTTGGCTTCTTGGCAGCTTCAGCGCCTTACTGTGAGTTGATTAAGAGCGAAACAAGAGTGGAAGTAGTGTGGGTTTATTTGTCTGCTGACCAGAAGCATTGCCTCAAATGACCCCAGATTATTGCGAATGCTGCTCCATGTCTGCACAGTGTGCCACAGGCAACATTTGCTCACACATTATCCAACTGTGATACGCATTGTGAGAGACACTAGGAAATGGTAATATGTACAAAAAACTTCCTTTTTTTCCAGCTCGTAGAGGTTCCTCTGACCCCAAGAGATCTAAAAATACCCTTAAAATAGATGAATAAAACTGCGAGGCATTGCTCGGAATTCTTTGTCTTCCGCCGGTGCTCCTCTGAGCAGTCCGGTCTCACCAGAGTTCATGGAGGTTCACGTGTCGGATGGAAGATTAATTACCATGAGTAGCACTCAAACACAGACAGATTGGGAGAGGGTGGAGCAGAGCCTCTCTTTCAGCTGTCAAGGTAAGCTATGTCATCAGTTTGGGTGCGAACGGGTCACCTTTTCCTGCCCCCTCTTACCTCTCATGACTTAGACATCTGTCAAATTCCTAATTATTTCTCTCTCATGTAGTTCAAAAAGAAATGAAGATCCCCAGTTGTTGCTGGCAGAGGTGAACATGGACACTGGCTCTGGTTCTTCAGGCAGGCTGCAGAAAATGTGCAAAGCAAAGTCAAGCTGGCAAAGTTGTTTTTTTTTAAATTAAATTCAAAATTCAGTTGTAGAGTAAGTCTATTTACTTGAGTAAATGTCAATTTTCAGGTCAGTTTGCCCCAAAGTCAAATGTTGCTTTTGGAATTTACTCTGCTTATTTGACAGTTTTAGATTATTAATACATCCATCCATCCATTATCTATACATCACTTAATGCTTATTAATACATGATACAAAATATAATCAAGACAAGGGATGATGTATTACTTTAGATTAGGATACCCACAATTATAAAATTAGCCCCAACAGCAACGTTAAAGTACAACTTGCAAATAAATATATAAAAAATCACAATCCAATGATATAATATGGTGAAACAGGCCAGTCTATATAATATCTTGTTTAGTTTTGATGTATTTTTACACTTATTTCTATTTAAGATCCTGTATTTCTGCTCCTACTGCTAGAACACATACATTTGTTTTCTCTCTAAAGGGGCAAAAGTCATCAAATAGAGTATGTTTTATAAGTTATACATGCAGATTATGAGGCATACTTTTAACAGACGATGCAAGTCTTGGTTTTTCTTCAGTTCACTTCAGCAGACAAAAGATGAAAATACGTCTAAGAGGGAGTATGATGCACCTGTGACTCTTCCTCGTCTCATAGCACCGAAAGCCAGAGCCAAAACAAACTCCTCATGTTGAAAAGGTACTGTCGACTTAGTCCAGTGCCTGGAAATGACAGTGATGGCCTTTTTTCATTTTCCCACAGTAATAGCAGCTTGTGGAGTCTATAACATCAGAGGTGGAGAGGTGATTGTGAATCTGTTTTTTTTTTTTTTTTTTTTCCTGCTGCATGCTCCAGAGGCTGACTCTAAAAAGGATGTTCATCTTTTTCAATGTGAGTATTGCCAGCAGCTCTGTCAGCCCTTCGCATACAGTGAACCTCCTGAAAATGAAACCCACTTTGAGAGGGGCGTGCGTGCGGTTTGTTTTATTGAAGATCAATTCATTAGAAATAATGACTGTTCAGATAACCTTCACAGAATGACAGAATCACCTTCATTCCTGGGTGGAGAAGGGGAAAAAAAGAAGAGGGTTCACAGCCAAGGAGCACTGCAAGTAAAAGGAAATATGCGCTGTTGAATTTCTTATATTGTTGTGAGCGAGCAAAACAAATGAGAAAACGAGGAAAAAGTGGCACGTAAGGATTGAGATGGAAAGATTGATGTGAACCCGTCGTGAGTGAGGAGGAAGAGGGAAGCCGCTGAAGAAAAGGCAAAAGGGGAGGAGAGCAGCGCGCACACCCTGTTCCTTCTTCTGTTCTTATGTGTTGGTGAATCGGCTGCTGGCTACCTACAAGCAACTGCATATAATGATATTCATTGGTACGATATTGCATGAAATAAAGCAGCTCCATTTCTTTTAGTGATTACTGTAGCAGGAAATATGAGGTGGCACCTGGGTTTTGGCATTGCATTGTACGTTTTCCCGCTTCTGCAGAAAATAACTTGGTCATTTTCTAATGCAGGCTGAGACATTTGCAACTCCAGAAGGGCAACTTGTATAAAGATTTAAGAAAGCGTCCAACCTGGAGCCCTGTCGAGACAAATTAGCACAGATGATAAAGATGCTAAATGTGCAGTGTTTCATGCCTCTCATTGGGAAGATGGATAGATGGATATTCTCCTTTGTTTGCTCAGGTCCTATTGAAATCAAACATAGAACCTGCGACAGGCTGTCAAACAGGATTCCTTACATCAATGATGAGCGGCACATTCCTCAGATAAATATCAAAAATACTACTGGCATGTTTGCACTACAAGGAAGAGACGGATGCTGCACCAAAGGTAGGCGAGCTTATGCTTTTTTAATGACGTTGCTGTTTTTGTGCTCTCTTTCCTTAAACCATTTTGAGGGTTTGATCTTCTGTCAAAGAAGCCAGATAAAAGCAAAAAGAAAAGGGGATATCACCGAAAGCTTCCAAAAACAAGAAGGTCAGACAAAAGTGTTGAGCCAGTTGTATTTACCACTGATATAATAAATAACTCGGCTATTTTGTGTTACAGCTAAAGGGAGTAATTAAGAAGTGGTACCAAAGTGGCGAATGTTTTTTGACCTTACGACCAAACGGAGCGGGTAATGCTTCGTGTCCTTTTAAGCAGCACGCAAAGTGGACAATCAAGGACTGAGTCAAAGTACGAATGAGAGGGCTACATTTGTTCCCTTTGATAAAAGGTTTGCACAGTGTTAATGATCCTTAATAGACAAAGTTATCCTTCTGGGAAAGCAGCCATTATAATATCCTCTGCAGACGCCACTGACTTCACTTACATAATCTTGGAGGACAAGGACGTAGCGCCCAGCATCAAAGGCATTTTCAGAAAATAAAGACCCGCTCCGCACGCTACCATCCCAATGGAATGATATGGTAA